ATTCAAATTATTTTTCATTTTCCATGTTTTTAATCGTAGAAATCTTGTTGTTTTTAAATGATTTGGCTTAAACTTACTTACTTACTTCATAAATCAAAAATTATCAACAAGGCAATAACCAAATTACAGACAGGGCACACTAAACTAAACTCTCACCTACACAGAATCAGAAAACACCAAACAGGTAAATGCCCTGACTGTAACCTAATAGAAACACCTGAACACGCACTATTACACTGCACACACCACCAACAACACAGAACAACCCTAAAATCCACATAAAACTGTAACAAACACATGTCTCTGGCAACACTTCTAACCCCCCCCCCCCCCCCCCCCCCAAAAAAAAAGACCTACAAGACTTCAAGGTATTAAGCAATTAATTTTCCAAATTAAAACATGCCTACTAGGCCGCATCTAATAAACTACAAAATCATTCTATACTATGCTTAAACCCTAAAAGATGTATTTTGAAATATTCAAAAAAACGTAAAAAAATAAAGAAATAAAAAATTAAATAAAAATAATAAAAAATCCAAAATAACACAAAACCACACAAACTCCCTCAGTCCCCCAACCTATAGCATGGCATTCTTTCCCCAAAATTAAAAAAAAAACCCTTATTTTGACATACCCTCTTCGGCATAACCACTAATTAGCCTGGCGGGCCCGTGTGCGAAATACGCATAAAGTCGGAAAGCGCACGTAAAAACACCAACTCTCTCTCGCGTGGGTGCTGTGAAGCTATCAGATTCAGATTCAGATTCAGATTCTTTATTCTCCATAGACTACAAGAGCATACATAAAGTACAGAGATAAATATAACATGTACATCAAGACGGCTGTGTGCATTTAGATTTAGCATTCAAAGTGTTAAATACAAATAATACATATTTTGATAGACGTTTTAGCTCGTTTAGTTTGGTCGTTGAAAATAGGCTTCTTAATGAAAACACATTTGACCAGAAATATATAATGGAATTCATCTGCTATTGCTGGTGAGTTACAGAGTGAACATAGACGTTATTCTCTGGGTACATTATTCCAACGGCCAGTCTCGACTGGTAAATTGTAGTTATTAGTGCGAAATTTTAAGAGCGGGTAATAAACAGATTTAGGCAGGTAGAGATAGTTTTCAAATAATGGCATTTCTTTAAGATATTTATAATAGAAACCTTTTGAACTCGACAATATTGAACTTCTCCAGGATTGTAGAAAATGATCGGTCAATATTCTTTCCACAGAAGAGACTAGCCACTTGGTGTTGAAATTACATGGCATATCATAAACTTGGGTCAGGCCACAGGAGCTTAATAAACATTCTAGATTACATAATCAAGGGTGAATATTGGAGTTTACGTCAGCATCCATCCTTATGAATTGATATATTAGAGTCGAAAACTTATTTTGTTGAGATCGTATAATATGTCTATGCCAAAAACCTATAATTCTCTTAGCTACTCTAATATTAAGGGGGTCCTGCCTAATTCTCCATAGACCATAAAGGAAGGAGTTGATACTTTCAAACCAGCCGCTAATTTAAGGATTTTTAAATGAACTTTTTCAACCATATTCAAACTTTCAAATCCCCACGCTTCGGTGCCATACAGTAAGATTGGTAACACCATAACATCAAATGCTTTAATAAAACAATCGAGTGGGAGATTGATATTTCTGGCATTCTTCAGGAGACAGTACATACATTTTGTGGCATTCTCGGTTCAAGTTTTGATGGCAAGTCCAAAATCAATTTTTATTGAATTTTATTCCTAAATAATCATAGAAGTCTACCGTTTCTAATTCTTTATTGTCGAAAATGAAGGGGGCGATTTTTTTCTTTGTAGTACCACTGCCAAACACAACAACTTTAGTTTTAGGTATGTTAACCGTCAGTTTCCATTTTCGATAGTATAATAAGAGGGAGTTTAAAGGTTTAAAGAAGTTTGCAGAGATCCAGGATCGGTGACCAAATAGAACTATGTCATCAGCGTACAGCAGTAACAGGAGCTGTACACAGAGAGTAAATGTTTCCTCTGACAGCGTTAACTTGACACCTTGACAACAGTTTTCTATCAACCACGGTTCGAGGTCGTTAAGGAATATTGAAAATAGAAGGGGAGATAAATTTTCTCCCTGGCGAACTCCAGTGTAACTTGGGAAGAAGTTAGAAGTGTGTTTGCCTATTTGAACACATGACTTAATGTCACTATACATGTTATTAACTAATGTTAAAAATTTACCCGTAATTCCAGAATTTAATAATTTTGACCAGAGACACACCCTCCAGACATTATCATTATTTGAAAAGTCAATGAATACACAATATAATTTTTCTTTATTATTTTTTTGAATATTCATTAGCATATTCACAACAAAAATATTATCAATTGTAGAAAATCCCTTACGAAATCCAGCTTGGGCTGGCGATAACATGTTATTCACATTTAAATAGTTAGTTAATCTAGTGTTTGAAATACCAGTAAATAGCTTACCAAGACAACTCAGTATTGTGATAGGTCGATAAGAAGCAGGGTCTAACGGGTCACCCTTTCTCTTGTATATAGGCTTAATAATACCAGTTGACCATGCATTAGGGAGTATATCCGTGGTGAATACAAGATTGAATAGTGATGTGAGTAGGGGCAGTAACAACTCAAATGCGTCAATCAAATAACTATTATCTATCAAATCAAACCCACAGGCTTTATTTCGTTTCAAAGATCTAATTCCCTCTTTTATTTCTTCTGTTGAAATAACTTTATTCAGTACAGTAATGTCATAATTAACTGGTTCAGTTTCGTCTATTAACTCATCATCATCATCATATCTTGTAGAATTGATGTCCTTAAAATATTCGTAAAATCTATCTACATCCGGGATAGGTCCATTATTAGTGTTGTCTGTCCCGTTTAATATTTTCCAGAACTCTTTGGGGGAAGCCTTAGCTTTTCTCCTCGATTGGGTACTAATTTCGTGTTTGTGTTTATTAATGTGTCTTGTGAGGCACTTTTTATAATTCTTTGCGACTTAATGTAATAGATGTAGATAATGTAATCTATTCCTTTCGGTTCCAAATTTCCTGAAGAGTTTTCTGGTTTTAGAGTAGTTTCTACGCATTAACCTGCATTCTTGATTAAACCAGGGTTTATTTACCTTATTACTGTTACAATTCAGTTCCCGAGAATGATTAGTGCGCATACCAAAAGTTTCTCGTGCAGCATTAGCAAGCACGTGCGCTAGCCCATCGGCTGACCTATTTATGACAGTTACGGGGTTGTCATGGCCGGTGAGTGCTGATTCAGCGAGTTTAGTTATGGCGTCTATTTGATCTGCATCTATGTGTCTACAGAATACCTCAGCTTTATCTTGATCATACTTCTTTGGTTTTGTACGTGAATTGGGTTGATTGTAGTTTTCATTATCTTGAGTAAATAAATCTTCATTTTCATTATCGTTTCCTGCAGTTGCTAATGTAAAAAGGATTGGGCAATGAACACCAGAATACAATGGCGAGTACTCACCCACCTCAAAGCTACTAAACAAAGATAGACATGAAGAGGATGCAGGTACATAGTCAACAACACTCTTATCTTTACACGTAACGGCTCCGGTAGACCTGTCTTCACCGAGGCGGCCGTTGCATATAAACAGATTTAAAGTTTTACAAACGCAATCAGCTTTTTACCATGATTATTAACAGTGCAGAGGTCACTTGTAGTTCTAACACGGGGGATGTTTAAGTCGTCTAACAATGATTCAGGGTCGTAGACATTTGTCAGGTCATCTATATCCATTTCTACTTCTTCAAGCATGCGTTTATCAAACATAGTATAATCGCTTAGGTTTCTTGTTCTACCATTAAAATCACCCAATAGTGTAACATATTCAGAGGCAGAGAACATTGACAGTATTGAATGTTCTAGTTGATAAAACATATCGTCAGAACAGAATTTTGACCCTTCTGGGGGCAGATACACCACTCCTAAATACGCATCACTGTCAATTCCAAACATTGATCTTGATAATTTAAACCATATACAGAAATCATTTACCTCTACAACTTGAGTGATGTATTTACAATAATGATCCTTTACGGCAAGGCCAATACCTCCCGATCTTCTCCCTGATCCCGTTCTATGTTGCAAAAACAGTTTATAGCCTCCAATTTGCAGATCATCCAATAAATCCGTTTTCGTTTCTTGAAGGGCTATTATATCATTAGCGTGAATAAAATTTCCAAATTCGGGGAATTCAAGTCGTCTTATGAGACCACATACATTAAGACTTGCGAGACGAACAACATTCAGTCCATTATCACTATCAGTTATACTTTCAGTAACTAAGTTGGTACTATCATCACTAATACTACGGTGACTATTTTGAAAATAAACATGTGTACCGAAAGGTGCTTCTGAATTGGGGACGTTAGCATGTCGGAAGGTATTGCACTGATCAGGATTTGCACCGTCGTATTTTGGCTTGTCATCAACAGATGCTGTAACGACGTGGACATTGTTGTACACATTTTGGTCATTATTTACATGTACATAGTTCACATTGTCAGTATTGCTTACAATATTCTGGGTATTGGTAATACAATCCTCATCACTGACGTCAACAAAGTTTGAGGGGTTTATATGAACCTTACTAGAGTAACCAGTGGTCAGTGAGTCATTCAGTGACACCAATGTCGAGATGTGGTTCTCACCAACAAATGTGCTGCTGCAAGCTACTTTGCTATGCGTAGGTGTCTTAACCTCATTATAGCCATATGTTTGAAGCACAGATTTAAAATTGTCAGTTAAACGTGATCCACGCGGTACACTACCCTGTGGTGATACACATACATTACGAGTTGTAACAGAGTTTTCTTTGGTTTGTGTAAGAGTAGAATTGATAGCAACTCTACCTCCTGCTACATGCAGGGGACACACAGTACTGAGCACGTTCTCGGTTACTGTCGTTATCTCGGAGTCAACTTTGAATGTGCATGTACTCACAGTACTTGAAGGTTGTGACTGTCTGTCAGTCGTTGTTGTGTTAAGTTTGGTCCTATAACACAGGGAATTCTCTCAAACGTTCCAGTCCTGGGGTTGTGTGTGGCAGACTTCGCTACTCCGACCACCCGCGTGTTCCTACGAGAGCCTCAGTCTGGCGTCTTCCGGTCGTCTGCTCTGGGCCACCCTGTATGGTGGAGGTGAGTGGCCAGTATGCAATACATTATTTATATACAATTTATCAACTGACATTGAAGCTCTCTGTCCTTTGCTCCTCGCATCTCTGACTAGGGGCATTAGAGTATCCTTTCGGTATTGTCTTTGATTTGGAATTTCTTTCCTTTTAATTCCTTCCCCTGGGACTTTACCAAACCCCTCTCCCTCGTGTAGAGACACTGAGCTATGACAGATCTATGCTTCACATCTCCTGCCTGACCTGGCGATCTACGAGCACCTATTCTGTGTACTCTTTTAAAATGTTGTGTGTCACTGCAACTAAGTTTAAGCTCTCTTTTGATAAAATCCCTTAGTATACACTCAGTATCCGCCCACGTTTCATCAGAGCCCACACCACCAGTGTTTACTTTTTCTGGTATATTGGTAAATATGAGGTTATCCCGCATAGACCGTGCTTTCTGGTCGATTATTGACTCTCTTAGTGACATATTCTCTCGCCGTACTCCCTCAAGAACAGTTGACTTATCTTTGAGTGATTTAATGTCTGCTTCAATTCTCGCTTTGTCACCCACCCAGTCATCGAAGGACAATTTGTGACTTCACTTCAGTGATATCCTTCTCAATACTGTCCAATTTCGACAATTTTCTATCGATCGCCTCGAGTTTGTTCAAGATGGCTGAACTATTATCATGAGTGGGTGTCAATGCTTGGGAGAGATAATTGTTAGGGTACGCTATCTGTTGCATCTGTCCTTGTTGAGGGATAACCATAAGTTGTGGTTGCTGAGGTTGCTGAGCAATCATTTCTGGAGAGTAGACAACGTTGAGTGACTCGCGAATAATATTGCTGGTAGCCATACTCGTCGGAGAGTCTTGAGCAGAGGTGTCACATAAATTCGAGTCAGAGGTAGAGCGTACAACTTTTGGCCTCTTCTTTCTCTTCTTACGACGTTTGTCCGGGTTAGCGGGTGTATGCTGATCGTACATTCTTATGGGCTTTCATTTCTTACGTAGAATACTTCATGGATGTATTATTTACGGGGAAATTGATAATTTCCGGAGGAGACGAAACAAGCATGTCTGCACGCCACCATCTTGATCACCTCCAGTATACTCCTAAAACATACAATCAACTATATAAATATATACGACATGTAAAACAATCGAAGGATTATAGCAAAGGCCACTGAATCCTTACTACACAGATTACCTACTCACTATTTGGCAATGTTTGATACTGCATACATAGAGGATTCATCACGAGTGTTTTTTAATATGGGAAATATCAACCGAGTCTTAGTTAATCGATATTTGCCGAGCCTTTGGCGAGGCAAATACCGATTAACAGGACGAGGTTGATATTTCCCATATTAAAAAACACGAGTGATGAATTCTATTTATCATTTTCACATGTTTGCTTCCAAATTAAGGAATAATTGCATTAAACATTAACATCAGCAACTTGTCGAAATCTTACGTATAGATCGTGCGTAGTGATACATGTTTTCCATAGCCATGTAAACCAAAATAAACAATTCGCTGAGAAAAAAAGTGTCTCGGATTATTTTAAACAAAATTCTTGAACAGACTTTTGCAGAAAAATTGAAACTTTAATAACGGTAACAACAACGATTCTGTGTAATCTGATTATATCTCTGGTGTAACTTCACTTATAATATATAGTTTCAAATCAAACCGCTCGCTCTTCCGGTTATCTAATTTGCATATCTAATTTGCATACTTATGTCATGGGGTATGACATACATGTTTTTATGTCATAAGCTTATGTCATGGATAAATGCTTAAGTTAAATGATAAATACGAATACTGTATTTACACAATTATGAAAATCTACGCATTCACTCAATAAACGTTCACACACAGAAATATAGAATGATAAGAAGCATTTAAAATGTTTACTTAGCCTTATTTTATTCGTAACTTATCAATAAGGCTACGCAATCACCATACCAGAGACAAGCATTTTAAAGATACTGAAATAGCATTCCACATAACTTAGAACACATAAGTTATATTTTATGGTACAAATACATGCATAGATATTAGCAAGCAATTCTATATATTACTAACCTTAACAATCGAACTGTTTATCCACAGATCTGTCACTGCCCAAGATGTTAGCTGACTTCCAAAGTGTTGGGTCAAATGCAAGATGGATGAAAGTGTATAGTTTGAAGAAGCCAATGAAAACAAGGCTTGGGTTAGAACAAGAGAAGAAACAATGACATCGACTAACCCAGCCACGGTTTACTTTACTTTAAGTAAACTATTCCAGAAACCCACAATACCTATCAAACTAAGAAACTATTTTACTGACAACTTAAAATAATATTACAGAACTTAAAGGACCTCAAATAAATAGAAACATATTTACAAAAAACTGTATACCAACACACGTGTCTACCACAGTTGCATCAATCATTTCCCATATTAGGCGCAACCCTGCTTATATAGCATTACATACTGAATGCAGTTATCATATAGATGGTGTATTCAGACTATTGTGTTCTTGCAACCACCAACCAGTATCCTGGTCCTCCGTCTCAAAGCCAATGCTCTGATGAAGCGCAAAAGATGCATTATTTGTTTTCCTAACCTTAATATGAACCTCCTCCATCTGTTGTAGACACAAACTGGCCAGGTGGGACATTATGACCTTGGCATATCCCTTCCCTCGGTGTTCTTCCAGAACACGCAGGAAGCCTATATACCCAGTAGGATATGTCAGGGCGTACCCTACCATGAACTCTTCACTACTGTACAGGCAACACGACGGTAGTTTGCTGATGAGTTCCTTGATGTACAGCTCAGAGTGTATACCTTCATTGTTCGGCCAGAAAGAATTGACCAGCTTGGCTTGTTCAGGAGTTAGACTTGTTATCTTGAATCCATCTGGAATAGGTCTGGTGTACGAAGAAACGGGAATTGTGAAGCATACAATCATTGGAGCTTTAAAAAGATCAACTTAAAATATAATGTACGCACGTTTATTGTCTATTACACGTAAAGTAGTAGTAGTAGTAGTAGTAGTAGTAGTAGTAGTAGTAGTAGTAGTAGTAGTAGTAGTACCCTGGACATTTGAATGTTGGTTGGTTGGTTGGTTGGTTGGTTTGTTGTTTAACGCCGCACTCAGCAATATTCAAGCTATATGACGGCGGTCTGTAAATAATCGAGTCTGGACCAGACAATCCAGTAATTGATATCATGAGCATCGATCCACGCAATTGGGATCGATGACATGCATTAACCAAGTCAGTGAGTCTGACCATCCGATCCCATTAGTCGCCTTTTACGACAAGCAGAGTCACCTTTTACGGCAAGCATGGGTTGCTGAAGACCTATTCTACCCCGGAATCTTCACAGGTCACATTTGAATGTGATACGCCTTATTCTTATATGTTCAATGTAGACATATACTCGTCCAGAAGGATACGTTTGATTGGTTGATGATTTCTATAAAGTATTGACAGTGTATTTCTTATGATCATTGATGTATACTTTTGCTCATCGATTTTCCGATTCATATCTCATGAAAATACGAAATACATAGTCAATACTTAAAAGTTAAGTTCACCAGAACAAATGATACTCACAAAGATAGTTAAATGACAACAATAACATACATCAAAATAGATACATATGATATTGGTAAATATTCCTTTCTAAGGAATACAACATATTGACCTAAACTGGCACGCCCGCTAGTTGCCAATCAATGCAAAGTAGCGTCAAAGTTCATACAGCCTTGCAATCAAGGCAATCGGCGAGACACCAAACAACAATGTGTAACGAACCAGAACAAACACAATTAAACAACAAAGGGAAACAACTCCCAAACAGAGCATGATCTAAAATTAGCTTCCCCTTGTTATCAAGAAGGTCACGGTCATTACAACAGCTTGCAGACACCTTCCGTGATTACCCTTCGACTTGATAGTCATATGGAATCATATTATGCATCGTTATCCCGATTAACATTTCATAACAGAGATGAAATCTGTGATGCGTTTTTCTTGTTCTCAGAGTGTCACTTACGGTCGCACGGCTTAACAAAATAATGACAATGCTGGTACGTAACTGAAATTATTTATGTGAAGCGGATCCCCTTTTACCCCCATTTTGTAAAGTATGATCAGAGGTTACAATGGTCTTAGCAATGTATGATCAGTCCCGACAAATCTAAAATTTCGACTGCAGCTGATGACGATGTTAGCCTTCAAGCGTGTTGGGCAAGTAGGTGATGCATGACTAAGCACAAACACCTATATTTACCACAGAAGTTAGAAGTAAATGTAACTGTTATGAGAGAAGATGACTTTGCTGTCCAAAACAAGCTATGTTAGCGAATTGGTGTAATGATATAATGGAGATATTATACCCAGTATAATGGAGGATATCAACCGTCATACACTCACTCTTTACATTGTATTGATGTACTGTTGTTTCTGTTGAACCCCAAATCTGAGTGACTATGCATAAACACCTATATTTACCACAGAAGTTAGAAGTAAATGTAACTGTTATGAGAGAAGATGACTTTGCTGTCCAAAACAAGCTATGTTAGCGAATTGGTGTAATGATATAATGGAGATATTATACCCAGTATAATGGAGTATATTAACCGTCATACACTCACTCTTTACATTGTATTGATGTACTGTTGTTTCTGTTGAACCCCAAATCTGAGTGACTATGCATAAACACCTATATTTACCACAAACAATCATAGCTTACCTGAGCCTCAGGGTCCTCCTTGTGATTTTCATGTCAATGAATGCTTCTGCTTCAAATGTTTTCTGATGCTGACAAAGTATCTTGTCAACTGTTGGCATAGATTCAGGACGCACACCTTGAAAATATGTTTTTCTTGACAGCATAAACATTAACTACGATTAATAAATACGATATGAACAAAAGCAATAAAAACCGTTTCCATATTCAAAAGAAATTGCACCGAAAGCAGAGTTGATTGTACAACTCCGAACATATCATGAGCATGGGTCCATGAATCTCCATGAAATAGTAATACATGGATGACGATATTACTGTCATAGTCTTAGTCTAGGAAAATATCTACGAATTGTCATAGTCTTAG